ACAAATTCATAGAGAGAAGGGAGGGAATCCTTAAAGAGAATTTTTCCCCAGTTTGAATTATTCTGATTTTAGTCACTATAATAGCCACATACAATTTAAGTTTTTCTTCGCAATCCCAACTAAATCAAACACAAATAAAGTCTCGTACTGTGTGCGAAGGAAATGACTAATAAAGATTGCTTGTTGTTTGTTCTTTGTTAAGTAATTAATTTAGCTGTTTTCATTCAACTTTATGAACGTGGGTGTTAGAATAATGGTTTATTGTAACTTAATAAATAACTTAAATTAACATGTTAAATTTCGATAAGTTAAATATGATCAATATCTATGTAAATATACTGATTTATTTCATATAAATAATGGTTTTTTAACTAGTTTTTTCAGGTATACTATAAAAACTAGAGGTCCGGTTTAAATAAAAACTACTTCGACTCGAAATCTGATAACTACTTTTTGACACTAATATGTAACTTATGTTGCAACGATTACCGTAACCAAAGACATAACAATAAATGCGCTTGTTGATGTTAATACCTGACATGAATTAAATATTATTTCATATATAAATGCAGGACAAGATCACTGCAAAGAGAAGGAAAACTTGACACAACCAGCCCGTCTGGCCAGCGTGGTATATTAGGCCAAAAACTCTTTTTTAAGGAGAGGCCTATGTCTATCAATGGACCATTAAAGGCTGTTGATGTGTGATACAAATGGATAACTATAGAACCTAAATAAAATTAGCTAATAGCTATCTTAATTTGTAGTTTTCATATCCGTCTACTGCCTACTCTAACTTTTAAACATTCACATAAAGTGAAACCTGGTCGAAACGTCTAGCAATTCGAATGTATTTATAATCTATTATCTAATTCAAGTGTGTATTCTACGTTTCTTATTAAAACGGCTCTTCAATCAATACAGACATGCTTTTGTGGCTTCAAAAACTTGCCGAGTCAGGAGTCCTTGATTAGAATATGTAATAATTACAATTAAAATATATATTAGTATATTATAATGGACTAACTAATTTGCATAGAGATTATTTCAGACAATGTCATGATGAAGGTTTATTCATGGCAATTATTGCTACTTTTAAATCATATTTATATGATGAGATGATTGGTACTTGTCACTGCAGTTTAACCTGTTATTGTGATTTGGTCATAGGCAAAGATAAATGCCATTAAAATCAGTCAAAAATATTTTTATCAAAGATTACGAAGATTGTTAGATTTAGAACTATCGCGAGTCTAGTGCTAGCGTAATAATAATGTGTGATTATTTTTTTATTTATCTTTATGCACTTTTGTACATCGGCGGACTTAATGCCCAGGGCGTTCTCTTCCAGTCAACCTTTGGGTGATGTAGAAATCTTGTAAGGTAGGTTACACAGAGGTTACATCATAATATCAAATGTACAATGAAAATATATACGGTTCACTACATATATAAACATATACACACATACTACACTTACACATCATAAATACGCATAGATACATATACATATATATACAAGTATATTTATATAGATACATAGACATATCTTATTCGTACACTATGAAAACCTGAATATGAGGTACACTTAACTATGGATTAGACCGTTCTGCCATTTCTTTAAGAAGGAGAGCATGTACCTTCTTTTTGGCTATAAAGCGGTTTGTGGACATCCTGATTTCGAGCGGGAGCGCATTCCACAGTAGTACTGCTTGAATTATATGTCACAGGTGATTGTGATTTTATTCCATCCCTACACAATATAACATTTAAGTGCTAATACGTTAACTATATACATGTCTATATAGAACCATAATAATTTCACACTTCTCATACAAGGCAGTCTGATCCCAATATAGGCAGAGCATATAGCATATAGCATTAATGTGAAAACAAATATAATTAAAATTAATGTGATAATCCCAAAATAAAGTAAACAGTGTAGAATTTTCTTTGAGATAGACCCATATTTTGTTATAACAATAGCCTTTTTAAAAACACTCACTGGACAGTGATATTTATTAACTTATTTGTTTTTAAAGATTTTTAATGAGAAAGTACAGCCTCTATTTTGCGCTGTTTACATAAAAAAGATTATACTTTTATTTTGTAAACAACGTCTTTAAATTTTTAAAAAAGATCAGTCGAAGATGAAATATTGTATGATTTTTAATTATTTCTCCAATCACGTATTCCCAAAAAAAATATAAACCTAGTGAGATAAAATTACCAAAATAACAAAGTGAGAGATTGGCAAGATAACTGAGCAAGCAAATTGTATCTTATAAGATTCCCGATTCCGCCGTCGATAGCGAGCCATACCTGCATAAAATACACAAAAAGGGAAATCAAGATTTTAGAAAAGAATTTCTTAATACGATTTTTAAAGTAAAGAATGTTAATTGGTTATGGAAGGAGCGAATGTAATGTTCTTTCAAGGAAAAGAGATCGTCCAACAAAAGTAGATGATCATATTTGGGACGTTTGCTTTGTGCGATGCAGGATCAGTTTTCCTAATCCCCACTAGATGTCGCCACACATCTCTAATTTATTAATAATTTCTTTTCTTAATAAAAATTTAGCAAATTTAAAGATTACTTAAGTGTCTGTATAAATGTTACTTAAGAGTAAGTTAACGGAAAGGAGATTAAGGTATTACAGACATGTCATGAGAAGGTCAGAGCAGCACGTCTTGAGGCCCTAATCCTACCAGAAGGCAAAAGAAGCCAAGGAAAACCTCCTTTGTCATGGTGGACCTATATGACGAAGCTTCTGAAAAAGAAGCATTTACCAGATCCTACAACCCTTGACAGAATATCTTGGGGCCGTGAAATAAGGAGAGCCGACCCCACCTAAAGTTGGAAAAGGCTAGGAAGAAAAAGACTTGTGTCTGTTTGTTTAAGCATCCGATATACTCCATTTGGGTGATGTAAATAAAATTAGCTTAAGTTAATATTTCCACGAAAAATGGACGCTTCAATTTTCAAACAAAAATAACAAAATATTAAAACATGCTTAAAACATTTTCGTTGTTTATTTAAAATTTATATTCAATTTTTATTTATTTGTTTACACAAATTGACAAATACGTATTTGAAATAAACGTACATATAATAGTAATTTTATCATTTGCCGGCTTTTTTCCCAATTACATTAGTCACCGCAAAATGTAACATTGTAAAAGTCTATGCCTCGATTCATTTATGGCCAGCCTTCTAAATTTTTAAATTAGTTCTAAAATCTTACATCCGACAATTCATTTCTTTGTCGTAAAAAAATGTTCTAAAATCTAACCTTCTCCTTTGATATCTGTATTTTTAATATATTTATATATATTGCAAGATTAATCGTAATTAAATGTAATCAGTTTTGATGTATCCTTTGCTACGTACAAAATAATAAGGATACTATGTCAGATAGGTAATACTCATGAAGTTTCCGTAAATCTGTTATATGTTCTATGGCAACTTTTAAATGTTTAATGTTTTTTTTTGGTGGAAACTTTGTCACATACTGAATAATAATAAAATAACTAAAATTCTTCTACCCGTTTTAATACACAAGTCTACAAGGTTACATAACTATTTTTGTAACACAATTCTTATTCTTTTTACAATATTTCGATATTTATATCTTTAGACAGATTTATATTGAAATGTTTTTATTTAAATTAAATTTATAATTATATTTTTGAAATAATTAAATAGAAATTTTCTACTTTTGCTATTTTTATTGTTAAAATATATTTTTAAACTGACAGGTGATATACTCGTACCTATTCTATTTGCTATTAAATTATCTAGTACCGTCGCGTCGTTGTTAGAAAAATAATCTTACTAACACTCATTTTATCCCTAACACATTTTTTAATTATAAAATCTTTAGTTGCAGCTAACTAGTAAAGTAAGTTTTTCATAAAAGTTTCCAGAAAATATTTACCTCTTCAAATTTCAACATATCTCCAACGACCAATCATGTATTTTCGATCATAAATATCTTCTCGGTACATAACATCATCCAGCATGCGTTTTTGTTTTATTTATTTATTAAAAAAAACATGCCTTTATTATGCCACACCACCACAAAGATTTTATTAAAACCTGTTAATCGCCATTCTTTACCAAACACAGCACTTACCTAAATTTAAATTTTAAAAAATCTTCATACAACACAATTAGGTTTACTTTTTAATTAATACCACACACTTTTTAATTCACAAAAGTTCACAAGTCACAAGTTTTTGAATATTTTGTTTTTGTAATACAATACTGTTTTAACAGTTGGTGCGCTTTACAAACTAAACGAGAATCTCGTTTCTTTAAATCCGGTTCCTATATTTCGTATATAAGATAATAGACGCGAAGGATATTAAAAAAATTGTTCTGTAAACAATTGGTGTTCTAACAAAGCAGCGCTTCGCGGCTATCCGAAGCTGTACTGAAATTCTAAACCCTGACTTCGGTGTCCATGTCGCGCACCCCCCATTACTAAATTTCGTACCGGATTTAAAATGTCGTAACTCAATACTGTCAAAAATATAAAACCAACCTTACACAACGACTTTAGAGACGCGAATGTAACAGCAAATAATGCCATATCCGACAGTCGTTAATATTCCCAGCGCGCTACAAGGCTATGAGAACGTATAATTTAAAGACGGAGTTGTGCGCCTACTTGTGCACGTATAGTCGTCTCGTTCACGCATATGAAGATGGTTGAACAGCTTTTCGCACAACGATGTTGGATTGCTCATTTTTTTGCTATTCAGTATTGAATTACGTATTATTTTGTGAATTAGATTGTGTCGTGGTGTCATATTTTGCTCTCTACCTGGCGTTTTAACGGGGCGATAGGGAAGCAGGTTGGTATAATCTTTCTTTATCTCTTAATACTCAGTAAAACATTTGTAATAAGAATATTTTTTTATTTGCTAGAAAATGATGAAAGATTGAAAATAGGATAAAAATACTATTTTGAATCTAAAACAAATATCTATGTATTTATTTTCTTTTTTCTTTTGGTACCGTGAAGCATTTGATGTTGAGATGGCTGCAGATTTGGCGGACCTGTGAAATAAAACTAAAATTATCATCAGTATATTTCTTCAATGCTGTAAAAAATAAAAAATGATATTAATAGGTAAGTAGGTATCTAATCGTTTTTTTTTACTTTATTAAGAAAGAGTAGAGATTTCGTAACCCATTTATAAAATGCTCTGATAACATTATAAAAAATATACAAAATCTGTAATGTACGTATATTTTTTGTTAAAGTTATTAAATTTTACAAAATTAAATTAAATTTAAATTAATTTTATGAAATACAAAACGAAATAGGTATGTATAAGGACGATAGGATTACGATGTAAACGAAATCTAATGTACTTAATACTATTAGGTATTTTTATAATAACCTGCATCAGTCTGTTTCGGGTGAATTTAAAACTAACTTATGTAGTAAAGAAATAAATACCGCAAAGATATTTCTATGTAAACATGGCCTAAGTAATGCTTACGTACAGAAAATACATACAAGTGTCTAAAAATAAAACAAAATGAATACCATCATTAGATGAAATAACATAAAAAATATAATAAACTATTTCCGTGTTCTCGAGACAAACTCGTAAAAATACAAAGAGTTACGAAGAAGAATTACGATTAGAAGGCACCAATAATTTCACATGCTCCGTATCAGACAGTATCTTATTGATTCTATAATATAACTCTTTTGGACAAGGGTCCTGGGTTTCATTTCAATAAAATAAATTTACTCAGACTTGACGATGTACCTACGGTGTAGTGTCAAAAGCGATAACTTCGCAAATTGCCTCGGTGTTATGTTTTTTTTTATGTTATAGGGGGTAAACTAGCAAACGGGTCATTAGATGGTTGGTGACTGAGGCCGCTCGTGGACACCTACAAGTGCATGTTCTACGGCAACATCTCTCTCCTCTCTATTTTCTAAGCTAAGCTATTTTCAGCGTAAAGTATTTTACATATGAGATACTATATAAGATTATAGTATTCAATTATAACTCTTCAGCTACTGTAATACGTTTTAACAGATAATCTATAGTAGTTTTTTTGTTTTTTTTTTAAGACAACTCCTGCATTAGGAATATATCCTCTGTCGCGGGGGACTTTACAAACATACATGAAACGGACACAAAGAACACCCAGACTCAGAACAACAATTTGTGGATCACACAACAATCAGACCCACAACACTCGGCGTAGTAGTAATGCGAATGGCGACCGCTTAAACCACTACGCCATCCGTGCAGTCCAATATAAAGCTGAAGAGTTTGTTTGTTTATTTGGTAGAACGCGCAAACCTCAGGAACTACTGTTACAAATTGAAAATCTTTTAATATTGGAAAGCCCATTTATTGAAAATGGCTATAGATTATATAACATCATGCTACAATCAATGGGAACCAATCATCATCATCATCAACGGCCTAAATGTTGCAAACACGGGAAAAAAAAAATTCCTTTTAAGAGATGCAGACGAAATTGCGTGGATCAGCTAGTACTATACAAAATCCTAGATCACGAGCTCTTACCATACAAACACCATAATGTATATGGCCAAATACAGCAAGGATTAACATCAGGTGTAGCATGAAGTACTCCAAGTGTGGGATGTTGAGTGAGGTTGTGATAGCAGCAAGCAGAGGCCAAAACATCCAGGTGACTAGGTCGCACCGGTTGTGGCACATCTCCGCTATTATTAGACGACTCTGAAAACAAATGCATTTGGAGTATGTAATAGTATCTTATACTAAAAAAAAGATAAAAGAATCTCTGAAGCGGGTCTTCGTGTCAAAATTAGAGCTCAATCGTTTTTTTTAATGGAATAGAGGGCAGACGAGCATACACGTCACCTTATGGAAAGTGACTTCCACCGCCCATGAACGCCTGCAACTCAGTCACAAACGCGTTGCCGGCCTTTAAGGAACTTCTTCCTTAAAGGCCGGCAACGCGTTTGTGCGCTCTTTTCTTGAAGGCTTGGAGGTCGTATTGGTACAGCAATACCGCAGACGATAACTTGTTCCACAGATTGGTTATGCGTAGAACTTCTTGAATTTTTAAACATACACAAACTTAAGAAAAATATAATAGAAGATAGATAAAAGCTACTAATAAGTACTAGAAAACACAAACCCACAATCAAGTGATTTATCAGACCACACGTTTAGGTAGTGACGTAGTAAGGTAAATAGGGTTGGGAACGGGTGTCCGACTCTTTGGCTCTACAGGAGAATGATCGAGGATGATAGAGTTGTTATTACTACACTTAATAGCTCTCTGCTATTACAGTATTGACCACGTCAAGGCTTTGATGATTATCGGAAGGAACAGTTAAAACTACCATATATGTTATCTATCTATCCATCCATACAGAGCCGGGCGAATAATATTTTGAAGCACACGTATTCCAAAATACATGCGTATTATAGACGAAATAGTATCTATCATAAATTAATACTACTACCAAAAATATTATTTATTATTTTTATGGATTGGTATAATAAAAGAAACCGGATACCTGAACAAAATTGTAAGCGGTACCTTAAAAAGTTCTATCTTAAGCACAAAGTGCAAATCAATATTTGCCGAACTAAAAATCTTTTGTCTATTACAAATAAATGAAATTGAAGGATTTGTTTTAAATGTCAAAATAATAGGTTATTTAATGCTCATACGGTTTTTTGATCGATTACAATTTAAAAAAAAAGCCAGGTCCAGGAATGAACCCGAGGCCTCATGGACCACAGTAGCTTACTGTACTACGCCACTAAGGCAGCGCTGTTCAAATTCGCGGGTACCAAGCTAGTTGGTCAATAATTTCATATATCTTTATTTGCAGTGTTGTTATAGTGTTATTTCTACACATTGTGCTTTTACATAGGTATATATATATATTATTATGATGTATGTTTGTGAATTCTCGCAGTTCCTATTATGTATGTGTGTCAAGTGACATTCTAAAACAATACGTTCCCGATCAGATATCGCGGCGAGTCCAAGTAAATACTATCACTGCGTATGCACTTTCAAGGGAAATAAACGCCTTAGCCACGATGGCAGGTACCTATCAAATTAATAAACGTAGCACAAACAATACTTAATAGATTTATTTAATAGATGATGAATAGGCTTACCGCTGATGCAATATTTAGACATATTTTTGGACGGTGTTGCTAGTTATATACATATACAATCAAAATATGAATGTGTTTAACTGTGTTCTTACTCTTGCTTTGTTGATTTTAGGATTAAAATGTGTACAGGTACACATTTTTCATTCTATAATGTAAAAAAATAAAAAAAGGTATTGTGTATTTTTATTCTTAAATTTTCCAACCTTTGGGGTGACATTTTTTCTTAATAATAATCTAATAAATAAATAAATCTGACACAGAACGCCATCTAGTTTCGTAGTAGTAGTACTATGAAAGTTAGATTGACTGATAGAATACTTATGTACTTTTTTGTAAAAACATACATATAAAACACCCAAACTCCGAAACAAATATTTGCAGATCATACAAACATTTGGACCGACCCGGGAATCGAACCCGAGACCTCAGCACAGCAGCTGCATACGTTACCACTGCACGACCGAAGCAGTCAATAAAATAAATTTTCAAATAGGTTAATAAATGACACAGTACTGAATAAAAAATACAATCGAATTAAGAACCTAGTCTTTTGAAATCTGTTAAAAAACACGAAACCACAATAAAATAGACTCGCCCATAACGTTTAAGTTGAAACAAGCACTTATTAAAAGTTATAAAATAGAAAATATAATAGTGCGCAATGATTATTCATTGTCTCCTTTGTAAACTGATCGAGATAAAAACAAATAGTGTCAGTTTGTCATTGTTGTGTTGTAGCCAAACTATTTATTTTCGTATTGGCAATACCCTCCGCCTCGTATTTCACAGACAATCACACGAGTCCAAGGAGGCCAATCTACGTGACAGCCACATTTATATTTTTAACTTAATTTGAAAGTCATAATACACTTTTTTTATAATATCGTTCCACATGGCAAAATTTTCGTCTCTATAACCTGTATAATGGGCGCTCCACTACTGTAGGATTTTCGAGACACTTCTGCCTCGATTTTCGAGACTCTTTTGCCTCGTACAACCAATCTGTAGAAGAAGTTATCGTCTGCGGTATTTCCGGACCGATACGACCTTCAAACTTTCCAGAAAAGAGCGTACCCCTTCCTAAAAGGCCGGCAACACGTCTGTGACTCCTGAGTTGCAGACATTCATGGGCGGCGATAGTCACTTTTCATCAGGTGACCCGTCTGCTCGTCTGCCCCCTCTACCATAAAAAAAATTTAGAAGGCAAATAAACAGACGGGTCACCTCATGGCTGATGGCAAGCGACTATCGTGGCCCATGGAACCCTGCTCTTCAGAGTCACTCCTGGGTTGCCGGGCTTTTATGAACAAGGGAGGTTAGGGATAGGCACTAAGAATTACTTTACACCACAACATAACAAAGAGGAATCGGTTGGCAAAGGTGCGTGGAGCCTCCCAAGCCCGATGGCCCACTGTTTTGGAGCACACAAATATGTCTCCTGTGGGAAAATCGAACCCACACACAGCGAGGCTAAGATTAATACACAATGCCATGAGTCTTTGTAACAGTCGCGCTATGCTTTTAACTTTTATAAATGTTTTTTTTTTAAAGACAACTTCCTCACAGAAAAGAAAATCCTGTGTCGCGGGGGACTTTACAAACATAAACGAAACGAACACAAAGAACACCCAGACTCAGGACAACAATTTGCGTATCACACAAGGTAATTTCATATGTGGAGATCGAACCCATAACACTTAGCGAAGCAGGAAGCGGCGAGGTGACAGCTTAAATCTGGGCGGTCAAAATTATTGCAGTAAATATTGAATTATCATTTAGTGAAATATTTTCGAGGTGCAAAACATAAGCGTCTGAAATGAATTCCAAATATTCGAGACTTACAGCAATATTACTAAAAAGGGTCCCGTAAAGGAAGATGTAGGCTCTTGGATACTGTTCACTGATGTCATTCTTCGAGTACAGGCCCCAGTAGGCTACTGCAGCTGTCACCGCGAAAAGCGACCACAGAGGTCGTAGCATTTCAAGGAACGGATACATGTTGCCGGTACGGTTCTTATAGGATCTGAAAATATATAATAATAATAATATTTCTGACATCAGACACACAACGCCATCTAGTTTACCAGACTAGATGGCGTGGTGGTTTAATCCTTACATTCCGCTAAGGTAACAGAAGCCTATTTGAAGGCTTGAAATGTGGAACTGATGACGCATCCGCCTTACATCCCGGACCTAGAAATCACCCTTTAAGGGGTGTGAAAAGATGGGTGGAAGTTTGTACGGGGAATAACCCCTAGACCAATTCAGATGAAATTTTGTGTGAAGATATTTTGATTCTTAAGAAAAGACATAGACTGCTTTCTTTGATAATCGACATATACACGGGCGGAGCCGCGGGAAAAAACTATTACTTACAATATAATTTTCAGTCGTTATTTCAGAATCGTTTCATTGTACAGAATATGCAAAATAATTCAAATAATTGTCGAGTTAGTAAGAGAAAGAAAAATCTGGGAACTCAGGAAACATGTTTAAAATTAAGAAACACAAGTACCTTTCGCTGTGGGAGAGGAACGTACTTTATTCAAGTAAGCCATTAGGGCTCAATTTATTTGGATCAGAATTGGCACATACGTGATACCCACATGCGGATTCGCAAGGGAAAGTTAGCTATGTTAAAGTTTGTGTCTTTTTGGCTTTTTCATCTATTTATTTGATCTATTTGCGATTAAAGTACAAGGACGAACTGTATTGCCCTTTGACATTATTTCAGTCACATTGATGTTAACATATTTGAATAGTGGTTCACTACTAGATACTGCATCTAGCAATCCGACTTATTAATTTCCTTGAAGTCATATTATTACCTATTAAGTGATAGTAAATAATAAAATAATTATATGAAATCAAACTTATATTATATTTTTTTTAGCTCTGCATCGCCCCAAGGTCGACTGATAGAAAATGCCTACGGCATTAAGTCCGCCTTTGTCACATTTGTGCATAAAGTGTTAATGAAATAAATAAACGTGAAAGTGTGTTTGTTTGTTTGTTACGCTTTCACGCCTAAACGACTAACATAGGCTACCTTTTACCGCGATAACCGACATACAAGTGGGCGAAGCCGAGGGCAAAAGCTAGTTAAAATGATAAACGTAAAAGTTTCACGCGCAATTACTCCATCAAAAGGATCTAGATGAAATTTGAACTGAGATACAGTCTGAAATAGGTCTTAGGCATATCGAGGGAACATGGTTGATAAAATTGACAAAAACGCTAGTAAAAGCTAGTATTAAATAATAAGTAAATGCACTTACAAATAGACATTATAAACGCAGCCAGGCAAGGTCGTCAACGGGCCCACGAGATGGAGAACAATCTCTAGAATACTCACTACGGTGTAGTCACCGAACACGTACGCTTTGTAGTACCCTGGGCCGTATACTCCTTCTATTATGAACAGTGCCGAGGAGAACTAAAACAATGGTTTGATTAGTTATTATTTCATTCATATTGTAATAAATGTATGATGAATTGGAATCAATTGTATTCTTCGTTTCCTAATTTGCCACCTTTGGTAGTGAAAATCTTTCTTTAAATTTGAATAGGCTAAAATACTTTTTTTTTATTTCGAAGGCTATATTACTCGTTTAGTAATATATCCTTCAAATAAAAAGAAAGAATTTTTTTGCCAAATCATTTCATAAATGATGTTCTGTGATAACAAATAAATATAAAATACTACCGAATTGAAAATCCCTCCTTTTCTGAAGTTCGTTGAAATTGGATAAAGAGCATGAAAAAGACTATCCTCGTTAGTTCTACCTGTTACGTAATTGTGGAAGTCGCTTTTTTGATAGGCATAGACATCGAGATCTCTTTATTAATACTTGAAGCGAATTCTTTGTACGCATTTCAAAGAAAAAACTACTAATGGAAGCACGTTTAAATTGGTTCGTTTTAATTAACTTACAATTTATTTATAGTAGACGCGCAGAGTGGAAAATTCACACCAAATATGGAGGAAACCTAAAAATAACGCGAAAAAAGACTACATCAAGCCATACGCGTCCAGTATATTTATTGAAATTTTATAGGAAAGTAAATTGATTTTTTTTTTTTTAAAAGACAATCCCGCCTTAGGAATATATCCTGTGTCACGGGGGACTTTACAAACATACATAAAACGGACACAAAGTACACCCAAACTCAGAACAACAATTTGTGGATCACACAAAGTGTCGTCTCATGTCGAGTTTGAACCCACAACACTCAGCGTAGTAAGAAGCGGCGTGGCGACCGCTTAAACCACTACGCCATCCGTGCAGTAAATCTTATAATAAGAGTTTAACTAAAACTGGAAGTTTATAATTCATCACTGCAATTCATTCAAATCTTTAGGTAAACAAAAAGGTGATCGTACTTCATGTATGTTACCCAGATTAGAGCTAAATTTATAGGTCCAGATGATACAAATACGTTTAAAAACTAATCAATATACCACATACATCCATTATAACCTATTTACTCGTATATCTAAATAAATCAATATTTGTATGTCCGATTGTAATGAAACTTTAGTAAGCTGTTCTAGGGACGCCAGCGAGGGTTCCTGCGTTTTGCGTATCTACGAGTACGTCCAATTTATGTTTACATTTTTTTTTTGTTATTTCTTCATACTTTACGTGGTATTGCAACACATGCCGCTTAGAATTCTATATCTAATAAGAAATAAATATGTCAACTTACCCACATACTCACGTCGTATCCCCAGGGTATGTACAATGTTAGTGTGTTGTATTTATCCCAATGACATATATAAAAGTTGAATGCCACACTAACTACTATTAGGAAGCCTCTGAAAATAATACAAAGTTTACTAACCTAGGTTATTAATAATCACATAATTATCTACTGCAGAATAATAGGCAGAGACCATTGAAAAGTATCGAGAAGAGACAGTTCACGGCCTCTCACTGCTAGCGTCCATCTTTTGGACGTAGGAGAGCCATGTTTCGGCAGCTGTGTACTAAATGGACCGGAGTGTTACCATAAAACCAGTGGTGGACCTTCCAGTCCTACAAAGGTGGATGCGTCTGCATGCTAGCCCATCCCCACGATTTATGTTGTAATTTGTTTTTGTTTTAATGCAGAACTAACTTAGTTGTAAGATGATTGTTACTAACACATTTATGGACTAATGTTTGAAATAAATTTATTTATTATTATTATTATAAAACCAGTGGAGTTAAGTAATGGACGATACAATGGCCAAATGCAACAAAATACGTTGCATGTCATCCCATGCGTGAGGTCGTTTGTAAGATTCACAATAATAATAAAAAATCAAAACATTAAAAATATTACATCATCATACATCAACTGCCATTAATAGGCCACTGCTGGACATAGGCCTCTCCTTAGAAAGGAGGTTTTGACCTATTACACCACGCTGGTCAAACGGGTTGGTATAGGGCTTGTGTCAAGTTTTCATGAGGAGTACCGACAGGCGCGGAAAACTCTGAAGCTGGCCATTAGCCGCGCCAAAGAAGAAAAGAGAGAATAGATGCTGGAGGGTCTTAATCTCTCATCACCCCGTGCTCCGCGCGGTAAGGGCGACCCCCCCTTACGGAGACTCTCCAGCCCAGCTTCCTGCGAGAAGTGGTTGAGGGCCTTTTCCCGCAACGGGCGGAGCACACTCCCCCGGCGATGGCCTCCTTGGCCGGAGACGAGGAGGATGATGTTCCGCCCGTCCGGGATTCGGAGGTAGGGGCGGCTGTTCTACGGATCCGTTCCAAGAACACCGCCCCTGGGCCAGACGGGGTACCGGCCCGAGTGCTGGCCCTTGCCCTCAACCACATGGCAGACCGCCTCGGGGAGGTGTTCGACGCTAGCTTGGCGTCGGGACGTTTCCCTGAGTGCTGAAAGAGCGGGAAGCTGGTCCTATTAAGGAAGCCGGGACGGCCTGCCGATTCGGTCGCGGCCTACAGGCCCATCGTGCTGCTGGACGAGGCGGGTAAATTTTTTGAGAGGGTTCTTTCTGCCCGCATCGTCCGGCACCTCTACGAGGTGGGCCCCGATCTGTCGGACGCCCAATTTGGTTTTCGGGAGGGGCGTTCGACAGTCGACGCTGTTTTGCGCCAGAGGGCCGTGACCGAAGAGGCCGTAAGCTGTGGCGGCGTGCTGTTGGCGGTGTCATTAGACATCGCCAACGCATTCAATAGTCTGCCATTCAGCTGCATCAGGGAAGCACTCCACTATCATGGAGTGCCAAAGTACCTGAGGCGGCTAGTGGCAGACTATTTAAAGGAGCGTACCGTCGTGTACGAGGACCGAGATGGTAATTTGAGGTGTCGGCCCATGTCGTGCGGTGTTCCACAGGGGTCTGTTCTTGGACCCCTCTTTGGAACATAGGGTACGACTGGGCCCTTCGAGACGATTTCCCCCCCGGGCTGGATGTAGTTTGTTACGCAGATGATACCCTGGTGACAGCCCGGGGGGCGAACTTCCAAGAGGCGGCGCGCCTGGCCACAAGGGGAGTCTCCCTGGTGGTCGGGCGCATTGAGGCGCTGGGCTTACGGGTGGCCCTAGATAAGACGGAGGCTCTCCTATTTCATGGGCCCCGTCGTGGTCCACCCCCTGGCGCCTCAATCCTTCCTGATCCTCGACGGGAGGTGGCTCTTCGACGAGCACTTCCGACAGCTTGCTCCAAAGCTGGTCGGCGCTGCGTCTGGCCTAGGGCGACTTTTGCCCAATTTGGGTGGACCCAGCGTCGCGACAAGACGGCTGTACACGGGGGTTCTCCGGTCAATGGCACTATACGGTGCACCGGTGTGGGCGGCGGCTCTGACCGCCCAGAATAGGGCACGCCTCTGGCGCCCTCAGATGGTAATGGCGGTCAGAACCATACGCGGTTACCGCACCGTTTCGACGGAGGTGGCGTGCGCGTTGGCCGGAACTCCCCCGTGGGATTTGGAGGCGGAAGTGCTCGCCAAAGTTTATCGGCGAGTGGCTGACTCTCGGGCGGAGAGCGGATTTCGCCCTCCGCCCGAGGATGTGCGCGAGTGGCGCGAAGCCGCTCGCCAAACCACGATGGCTCGCTGGTCGTTCCGCCTGGAGACTCCACGCGCTGGCTTCGCCGCCGTGGAGGCTCTCCAGCCGGTCATCGCCGAATGGGCAGGGCGGCAGCATGGGACCCTTACCTTCCGGCTGACGCAGGTGCTTTCCGGGCACGGTTGCTACGGAAAGTACCTGCACTCGGTCGCTAGGAGGGAACTGAGTCCCGCCGGCCACCACTGCGACTGCAGTGAGGACTCGGCCCAGCACACGCTGGCGGTCTGCCCCGCATGGGCGACGCAGCGCCGGGCCCTCACTGCAGTCATCGGAGTAGATCTCTCGCTACCGGCCGTAGTACGCTCCATGGCCGGTAGCGACAGTTGTTTTACCGCGGTCGCAACCTTCTGGGAGGAAGTAATCTCGCAGAAGGAGGCGGCGGAGAAGGCCCGGGAGGACGACCTCGGCCGGCCGGACGGGCGGCGGAGGCGCGCTTATCACCGCCTCATGCCGCCCTGAGTGTGGCCGCGGGTGGACGGGGTGGGTTTCCCCTCCACCCGCATTAGTTTGGCCAGCCGCGAGGGGGCGGCGTCCGCGTGTGCCGGACGACGGCGACGGGGTCCGGATGTCTTAATAACAGCTGTTCCCGGATCCCTCCTATTACAGGCGCAGAGTGGCACACCGTGTGGTTTTAGTCGGTTCGAGTCCGACACACCACCCCGCCGCAAACCCCGGTGGGGTGACGGTTCGAGGGGATTTCCACACGTTAAAAAAAAAAAAAGGACTTGTTTCAAGTTTTCCTTCTCTTTGCAGTGCTGTTGTCCTGCGTAAAAATATTAATATAACTTTTATTTTTACGTAACTGAACTGTGTTTCGAAATTTCGGTCTTGGGATGCTGGCACCTCAAGTGTAATTAAAAAAGTCAATTCAATATCCAGGGGTTAACTCTTAGTAGTCTCTTGGTATCTATAATAATATTATAAAGAGGTAAAGTCGGTCAGTGTGTATATTTAGGATAAACTCCGGCACTATTGATCCGATTTTGAAAGTTCTTTCACTGTTAGAAAGGTATGTTATTGTGCTATAGACTATTTTTTACTGCGATAACGGAGCGGAGTAGCGCGCAAAACCTAGTGTTAATAAGATAGAGTTTACACATAGGTACTACATACATACTAGCACACATCAAAACAATGTTGTGGTATATTTAATAGTGCCATTGTATCTATCTGTGAATTGCAAAAGAGTGGCCATGAGTTTGTTTGCCCTTTCTTCTCATACGGCTCAACCCCTTGGAAACGGGCGGTTGTAGATCGGCACAGGCATATCATAGATTTTGTATGGGTTTGATTTTTGTTAAATTTATTTGCTTACTATTTGACAAAACAGAGATTCTTGCTTTTGTGAGTGTTGATCTATGACTTTTGAGTCTACATAAAAGACGATTTCAAACAATTTTGAAAATTTTATGAAATAAATGGAGTTTGAGTTTGAGTTTGAGTTTGAGTTACGATTACTCCCTTCTTTTATTCTAAAGTTCATAAATACTCATATCATGACTTCAATTTATTGTAATCCTATGTAAATACTGTTTGTTGGCATAAGACAGTCCATTGAGGATTATAAGTCAGACCCCTGTTTCTTTAGGTGTTGACGCAATATCAATAGTTTCCCTCCGGGATTCCATTGTCCCTAACTATGTGTTATAGAATATAAATAGTAGAATCATGAAAAAAAATATAGGAAAATAATTAAAAAAACATTTTTTTGCCACAAATAACAGCTGACATTTTTAACCATAAGTTGTCATCCAGCAGCAGCAGGCAGAACAAAAAGCCAATAAGGAAATTTATTATTTTCATTACAACACCCCATTTCGTATAAATCTAAGCTTTAATTAAATATGCATCTGATCATCCAATATCTAGATATAAAGGATAAATACACAGGATATTTACCTAAAGCAATTTAAAGAATACTCCGGATCTCTTCCAAAAACTGATATCAAAGCGTATGGTATTAAAAACACGATGTACGAATCTAATCCGTGGTCAAACAGTTCCCCTAAAGGTCCAGATACACCGAGCCGTCGGGCTTGTTTTCCATCGATCCCATCTGAAAATGTCAGTAACGATTAATCGGTGGTAAACCATTTCTACAAGTCTTACGGGTAAATATTAGTTTTGGGATTGACTTTATGTTTTGGCACACCGTATTTTTTATTGTGGGTTTTAGTTTGTAAAAGGTCCCTTCATGCAAAAAAGATTTGTCTTACTCGTATTAGTAGTATTGGTAAGGGAAGAAATGGCAAGCACTGGAATATCTTACATTATATAAAGTCTATGTATGTGTATGTAACAGATATATAGACTCACGTCTTTTAATCTCCGAACTACATATTGCGGACTATACCTTTAGTCCCACGTCCCACAAACATACTTGTATATTTCTAAACACATACATATTATAGATAAATTACAGCCAAACACAGAACCAATGATGGTGTTCATCATACAATTATTTATCTATAATATGTAAGGATTTAGAAATTATAAGAATATTTATCAGTAGTCTGATTATTATACGAGTAGTACAGGCTCTGTCTGTTTGGGATCAGACTGTCGTGTGTGAGATGTCTAAAGATATTTTAAGTTATTTTCATCATTATAGTCTGTTCTCGTTTTTATTAAAGCTGTATTCTAGCTGAAATTTCACGTGTCTTATGGAAATCAAAACAAATTAAAAAAAACAATCTTGTCTATGTTTAGACGAGGTTACGAAAATTAAAATCCATCCACGGTTCTCAAGGCTGCCGAGAAGGTCGTCTGAATATCTGGTTCATATACATATTAGCGAAGAATATCGACCTCTTCTGTATAACACATACTCAATGCTTATATACAATAAAGAAGCCAGTAATTTACATATATTATACACTATATTAGTATATAGGTATATATGTAAAGATTTGAGTATGTATGTATGTACTTACTCAAATAATTTATTCCCTAAGAGGTATATACGACTATATATTTAGTCCCACTTATGTAATAGATGCCAAGCGAAATCAAGTATTTTTTTAAAGTCAACTCCAAGAAATTTATTCCTGTGTCTTTACAAACACACACGAAACGGACACAAAGAAAACCCAGACTCAGAACAACAATTTGTGGATCACACAAGTGTTGTTCCATGCGGGGATCGAACCCACAACACTAAGCGCAGTAGGAAGCGGCGAGGTGACCGCTTAAACCACTACGTCATCCGTGCAGTCAGTATGGTTAACATTATCTATACAAATAAATAAAACTGAAGTATCTGTTTGTAATGTCAAAATAATAGGTTTCTTTCATGCTCACACGGTTATTTGCACGATACCTATGCCTAAAAACCAGTTTAAATAATTTTTGTCTGTGTCTATCTTTCTGTTTGTTTGTTCCGGGTAATCTTCAAATCGGCTAGACCAATTTTGATAATGTTTTACTACCAGGCAGCTCTCTATGTAAGGAGTAACTTAGGCTATTTTTCATCTCGGGAAAACCCTATAAAATTTTGCCCCGTCCGGAAATCGAACCCACTAAGGCAGCGCAGTTCATATTCCACGCGAACGAAGTCGCGGGCACAAGCTAGTTATAGATAAATTCCACCCAGACACAGAACAAATAATTTTTAAAGAGGAGAAAGGAGGTTTTGACTTACTATACTTCGCCGGGTGGTTATAGGGTTTGTGTCAAGTTTTCCTTCTCTTTGCAGTGCTGTTGTCCTGCGTAGTTTGCTCCCTTAGTCGGCTCCAACTCATTTTTGACGCTTTTATTAAATTACAAAAAGCAGTTCTAACAAATTATAAAGTAAAATAACCTACCTAGGCCATACGCCAAAAATATAAAAACGCCACAAGTAATAAAAACCCAGTTGGGTATTTCATTCGGATAACTCTTAGAGCCAAATCTCCCCCCTGCTGCATAGAATTCTGGATCGTACACAGTAAGCAATAGGACTGCTATTAACATCAAAATGAAACCAGCGAACGTGATCACGTTTGGTGCTATTGATTTTGGTGTGATCTGGAAAAAAAGTCGGTAATCTACTGAGTCTTTCTAATCGTACAATAGGAACTTTTTGCTTAAAACACGGAAAAATTTGATGGCTGATGTGACAATTTGTTTTTTTAATTACTTCATTAACTTGAAAAAAGTATCAGTATTAAAGTTTGTATTCTTCTTTCCTTAATTTTAATCCCTAATGGTGGTATTTTTCTTCAAATTTGATTGAGAAGAAAAGTCCAGTATACACTTTCCAATAAAATTCAAAAATTCGACAATTCTGTTCTAATGTGTCGGAGTTCTGGGCTGAAAAACACATAAAAGCAACATATTCAATTTCTTCCCTTTTTTTATTGCGGTTAAAAACATGTAGTAGGTACTAGCATCGAGGTCTTAGGAAATGTTTGAAAGAAAAAGTGACGAAATTTAAGTTCTTTCCCTTCTATTTTATGGGGTAGGATGTCACTCTTGTGTCCCCCAGAATAAGGGAGCAAACCTGGACCCAATAGTTGGGTGACACTCCGTAAATGACAAAGAAATAATTGATAAAAACTAGCTTTCTAAACTCCTAAACACAAATCGCAGATGTCACGCATATAAACGCCTCACTCAAAAGGGACTGGGCCGGACACGTTTGCCGCATGCCGAAGGATCTATGGGCAAAGCACCACTTGGGTTCCACAAGGCGCTAAACGACAACGTGGTAGGCCCAGGCGACGATGGCAGGGCGATTTTGCTTCCGAAAAGACTGGTCCGAACTAGCACACGACAGAGAGATGTGGCAGGGAGAGAGGGAGCCCTTTACCCTGCAGTGGGACAATACAGGCTAAAATTAAAACAAATATTAGCTTTCTGTGAGACCGTTGTAGCTCTCCTACTTGTAGGCTCTTAGTCTTTTTACCTATCTCACTTATCTTATCTTTTCTGTTCTTATATTACTATAACTTACTTTGACTATTGTGTTCCATGTTGGGTGCATCAGATACTTTCCTATTGGACTTGTGTCTATAGCGCTGTACTGGAATCAAACAATTCAACTAATTATGTAATTGAATCCAAGATTTTTTTATTTTGGTAGTATAATTATGTTTATAATCTACATCGAAGAGTCCTGTCCGTTTTTTTTTCAAATATCTGTATACTTATTTATCGGACTAGACTAGGATTTATAAAAGTGTCTACTCTTTATTTTCTAGTCAACAGCTTGCTAAATTTTTAATGTTGACTATTAATAACGATAACGGTTAACGTTAAACGTTAGCGCTTGTTTATTTATTGATGAGATAAGGTTAAACAAGCTCTATATGTGCAAAATACTCATATTTCGCACACATAGTACCAGGCTCACATAAATGTTTAGAGTTAATAACAGATTCACACATTCCAAGTTCCTTTAAGTACAATATATTTAAGGTATATAAGGTATAATATATTTTCGTTCTTAATAAATAAGTACTATTATTTAATAACATTCTTGCATATAAATTTCAAGCTTTGAGTCGTGCAGAGAGAATATCACTATTTTGTGATACAGTAAAATTCAATTAATGTTCAATATCAATTAAATAGATACGATTATTTTAATTTAATTAATTATTTTTTAATAATCACAACTTAGTAGAAAGAAATAAATAGTCCTTACCTTATATTTTTTTAATCCTTTTAGTTGGTCGTTCTTCAAATATTTATAATCAAACATTTTTATTTACTCACTTAACAGAACTGCTGACAATACACTGAGAAAAAAAAAAAAAAACCTTTAAACAATTATTCAATTAAAATATAATATGTAGGAACTGTGTTTTTGTATTGTTTGTGTATTTACGTAGAATGACCTTAAAGATACTCGCAGAACACAATTATGTAAATTAATTAGTACCTATAATAAACATAAAGTCGATAATGGCCTGTTCGGACTTCCAATTCGGTTTAAATGTACTAGGAGATTATAATGAGGTAGTAGTTAATATGTAAATTTGCGTTAATGACTTAAATAAAATCTATACAAGTAGAAAAATAAAAGTGTCTCCTTGTAATTTCAAAATAATAGGTTTTTTTTATGCTCACACGGTTATATACCACGATACCTATGCCTAAAAACCAGTTTAAATATTTTTGTTTGTCTGTATGTCTGTTTGTTCTGGGTAATCTTCAAAAAGGCTAAACCTATTATGATAATATTTTACTACAAGGTAGCTGCCTATATAAGGAGTAATTCTGACTATTTTTCCTTTCAGAAAACCCTTAGAATTTTTTTAGCGGTCCGGGAATCGAACCTGAGGCCTCATGGACTGCAGTCGAGTACCGTACTACACCACTAAGGCAGCGCTTTTCAAATTCCACTCGAAGGAAGTCGCGGGTACCAGCTGGTAAAAAATAAAACTTTATGCTTTGAGGGTAAGTTCACATGATAGGAGTTAGGCATTCGACAAGCGTCTGAGTCTCTTTCTTTATCTGGGAAGTAAAATGAGCAGACGCGTCACGAGTGACTACCCTGTCACCAATGGTCACCTGCAACTTGACAGACACAAGTGCGGTCTTTTAGAAGATACTAATGGTAACTTTAAGAGCAAACTGTATTCATTTAAATTAGTCGAGTCACCATTGTGTCAATGCTCAACACCTGATTCTAACTCTGAACAGTCTGATCATCATATCCTCTGGGAATGTAGTCTTTGGGATAATGAACGTGATGAATGCTGAATAGCTTACAGGTGACATCTAGGGCGGTATACTATGGGGATCTTGTGTCAACTAGGGTGAATTTGCGTGCGTTTAGGCGATTCTGGCATACATATTTAGAAATTAAATATAGCTCACTTAGGACCCATAATATTTTAGGACTGTGATGCTTCCCTGTGTAAAAAAGGTGTATGCCTATTTTAATTCGTCTCCCGCTTTCCTACTGAGGGAAGTGGATTTATTATATTTCCAACTCCTCCAATTCTCTTCTGATTAATTTCGTTGCGGGCTCCAAGGCAGTTTACGTTTTCCCTGGGACTTCCCGATTGTCACAACTAGGTTGATCCTGGTGTATAGGAGTTACAGTAGTGGACGTCTGGGACGGACTAGTCCCATTTAAAAACTGACTATGACACTCAATTTCTCAACTATGGGAGAGACTTGCTCGGCGGCTTCATAAGGGGTGCCCTGGCTCCTCATGAGTGAGGTTACTGGAGGACCGACACCCCCTCCACTAATTCTTGGCGTTCAACGTACTCGTATGTCTTGAGTTGCGAGTGTTAATGAGCGGGGTAGTCACTTACCATCGAGTGACGCGTCTGCTCATAGAAACGAAACTTAGAAACCATCTTGATTTTTTGACTGCAGAGTCAGATATGCAATGTATATATTTTTGTATCACGACTTTTTTGCGATTACGCAAACTTGCATACAGCTAATTAAAATAAAGAAAATAAATAAATATAGCAATATTTTACACTACAATTTGTTCTCTTCGTTGACACTTAACTATATCACACTTGTCATTTATAACACCATCTCTTACACACATTACAAATTAGTTAACACACACATGCCAACTAACTAACGTAACTAAAATAAAATACACACAAATAATTTAAAAATATTAATCAAAATCATCATCAGCCTTTAGAGTCCACTGCTGGACACAGGCCTCTCATAAGAAAGGTTTCTTTCTCCTTGCAGTGTTGTTGCCCTTCTTAGCTTGCGCACACCCACGGGATGAAAAGGGGTGGTGACACTCGGTATTCTTAATCCGTCACCACACGGACGTTTGGTAACACAGTTAATCAAATTAACGGATAGTAAAAAACTGGATGTAATAAAATATATAACACTAGTAAAACAATGAATAACACGCGTAATTATACCTACATCACTTAATTTTATTTCTGTCACTCTCACAGTGCACTTAAATATAAAATTGAACACTCATAACAACATGTCCGCTAACCTACTTACTGACACGTTAACTGATAATCTTGTTCCGTCCTATATCGTTTGAGGCAATTTCAAATAATCTTTAAACTACGATAGGACAGAATCGATACATAATCATATTTGTATGTTGTATTTTCCTGTTTTTTAGTTACGAATTAGAGAAAAGTTGAGATTTTTTATTTTAGGCCAAAAGGAGTAGAAAATCCATGCTTCATCAAAATGGGCAGGCTCGATCGGATCGATGTCACGGCCTCGTAGAAAATCAGTGTTAAGTAATTCTTTCATCATTCTTTCATTTTATTTTTAACCCCAATAATGATTATGAGCACCCAAAGGGGGGCAACGCACTTGTAACATGTAATAATACAGTTATACTAGCTTGTGGACCGGGCAAAATTTTATAGGGTTTTCTGAGCGAAAAAATAGCCTTAGTTACTCTTTATATAGACAGCTACCTGGTAGTAAAATATTATCAAAATCGGTCCCGCCGTTTTGGAGTTTATTCGGAACAAACAGACAGACAAAAAGTATTTAAACCTGTTTTTAGGCATGGGTGAAAAAACCTTGTGAGCATGAAAATAACCTATTTTGACATTACAAACAGACGCTTCAATTTTATTTATTTGTAAAGATTTACCGGCATAACACACACATGTAAACGAAATAGCTGGTTGGGTTACCAGGTAACAACACGTGAGTAACTAGCAACCCTGACCTTCGTGGGAAAAAATCAAATGACAAATCACAGTTTACGGTGATTTTGTCCAATGCCTACTTATCCTTCTGTGTGACCCCTCTGACTATAGGGACTATAGTTATACTATAGGGATAACCGTCAAACGGGTCACACCACATCAAAGAAAATAGTAAATTTTACAAAAAGTTCTTGATCACGTTCTAATAAATTTTATCTTCTTATCTATGATCATTGGTAACACAAGCCTCTGTTCACTCATAATATAATATAACAACTGTATTGATAATGTTTATTTATCAGTAAAGAATGACTCATTGTCAGTGTTATGGCGGAGCGATAATTTAACACTTTGACCTAATATTAATATGTGTAGTTTTTTTATGATTTAGGGAGCAAACGAGCAGACAGGTAATCTGTGAGCCTCCGATGGTAAGTCACTATCGTCACTAATCGACATATGAGTCACATATGCGTTATTGATCGTTATTGATCGAAAAGTATGGATATGATCAAAAATCCCGGGAATCGGTACTTTGACCAAAAATTTCCGGGAATTAGAATTCTGAATGATAATGATTTTTGTGCTTCTATACATGGTTTCTTTTCTATATAATTCATACACGTACTAAGTACGTGTATGAATTATACACGTAATAAAAATATATGTGTCAGGATTTTTTCAATTAGTAAATGTAATAATCATTTAATATGTACTTAAATTTTATTTTAAAAAAAAAGTATAACAGGTCCATGTAAACAATTTTGCAAAAACCAACAATAAACAATCAAAAACAACATAATGTTCTGCTTAAACCCCTTATCAGGCCAAACTAGTTTATTTGAACCAAACGGGCTTATTGAGTAGATTTTCTAAGCTATCTTGGCATGCATAATGCCATAATAGGATACATCGGTTTGGCCTAGAACATATTTAGTATTGTACAAAATCCGGTTTGACTTTTGTCAAGGTATTGTGTAGAAGGTAATCTGCCGATGAAAAACTTTGGGATATCTTAAATTACTTAACGTAGCGGTACGCTTAAAAAACCAATGTCATGTTTAGAATGTTTTAATTATTGTCTGTTGCACTTTTAAGGATGACCTTATCTATTCATTTGTAAGTCTCTACTGTTTAAATCTAAACACTTAATACGAATGAATAAACCTATTCCTTAAACAAACTCGATTTCCACACATTTTAAATAATATCAAATATTTTTAAGCCTACCATAATTACCGGAATCCCGGGAATATCGTCATATCCATACTAGTGATATCATCTCAAATAGCACCCAAACTCCGATCACTAGTTATAAGGTCTTTTGTAGGGTATTTTAACAAAATTAATCAGGCTGAAAAGCTAGTTAAATCTAGTAATTTTGCTCTATATTATATACTCACGCTTATAATTATGAAAGGGCTAGACAAAGATTACCTAATGACTAGTTCACATTTGTTTTTAGTGCCTTTTAATAACTTCTTAAATTGTGAGTACAAGATCTTCTCAATACTTGGCACTGCAACAGATAATTCGCTAAGACTCACAATCACAATCTTACGTATTCCGATGTTCAAGTTCAGGATTTGCCGATCGCAGGCAAACATACATAAGTTATGTAGGTAGAATATAAATTTATGCCGAGCACGCACACGCTTATGCCCGTCATATTTTAAATTATGTCGACGTGGCCGTGGGCTGCCAGAGAGTGGGGACCTCTGGTGGCAGATTAGGGGCAATGCGGTAGGGGGATAGGTTGGCGACCTGATCGCATTAAGACGCGATCGGACCACAACGTCGTTACTAAAGCGAGTGGCGGGGGTAGTTTGCAGCTTCCGTCGACATAGAGCCTGGTTAGGCTTGGTGTTGATTAAGAGAGGACCTGAAATCACATCCGGTCTGGGACCTCCTCAGAGTAGGGCACCTGACGCCGGCCGTCGGGGTTTTTGAGTGGAAACACCACATACTTCTGGCTCCAGCCTCCCCAAGAAGACAGAATGCTTCTTGGGGTACTAGAGCTAGGCGTATCTCTACCAGATGGGATTCTGCACCCCGTCAACAAAAAATAATAATAATAAGT